TGCCATCAATTGTGATAACAGACATAGTAACGGTGAGGGTTATAGGGTTGTTAGGAGTGATTTATTCACTAAGTCAGTTCTTGATATCGAGGCGTATAAGAATTGCAGGAATGAAATATATCTGAGGCTCTTAGACTGCACAAGCTGAGGTATCTATTTCTAGTTTAAGCATTGTGCCATTAGCCATGTACTTTATATGATTGAGTTGTTGACTTGTTCTCACGTGTTCTGTTGTTGGTTTCAGAAAATCTAAGACAAAAAAGAAAAGATCCATCATGTGGAGGCCTAATGTCTATGTAACCTCATCTGAATGCCCATGGTAACTTGTATCGTAAACCGCACGTCGCAAAGACAAATTTACCTCTCTGTTATTAACAGTTTGGAGTGTGAAACTTGTACGCACTGTTGAGATCTTGATTCGAAATTGTCTTTCTTGGGCAAGCGTGTGATGATTTGAAGTATCGGTTTGCACTGCCAATTACAGCCCTTTTAATAAGGAGTAGGTCTTCCATAGTTCAGATGTATGATGGTGTTCTTAGACGTTAAATCGAGTGATTTGCAAACAGACTTTACGGCTAATACCAATTTGTCATATTTTCTGGTAGCTCCATAAAATCTTGGATGACTTGATCATTCTGTGGCAGTACATTTTTTAACCATCAGACCCGTATCTCCGTGGATGGACATATGTGAGCTGTATGAAGCATGATGACCATAGTTTTCTCTAAGATAATTTACTCGCATATTGGGGTGTCACACTTGGCTTAACAAATTGCTATTAAAAAAATTGTTATGTTTGTCGGTGGTAATGAAGAGTACAACTGTCTTCTAACTTGATGTTCGTTGTTACCAGGTGGATGACAGGATTGGATTCCAGTGAGGCTTGAGCAATCTCAATTTAGGCGATGTGTAACACAAACGATGACAACATCCTTATTTTCTGTGTTATTTGATAATTTTATCTAAAGATTCTTTTCATCTTTTTGATACCATAGACTGATCATTATCTTATCAATCTGGAAAACCTATCAGGGTTCCAAGTGGTTCGCTTGAGTCCAGACTAACAGCTTAATCACTTTAAATTTCTTACATTAAATATGACATTGTTTGAGTAGAAACACGACAAAAATAACTATTTGGGGTCGATTCTATTTAGTAGGTACACTGTGATGTTTTAAAGTTTCAAACCTGATCACACCTAGGCGGCGAAGGAGCGATATAACGGGCACCGACAATACAAACTCAATAGTGAAAGAAAGGATCAATTCCTTTTCCTACACATGTGGTATTCATTTCTTTCATTTTCTTGTAGAGCATCTCACTTTTTTCAATAGTACCAAAATTTGTTGGAAAATGGGGAAAACAATATCGGTGTATTTTTTTTTTTATAAAGGAAGAAAATCTTGTTGGAAATTCGAAAAGCATATGCTCTTTGAGAAAATATCTAGTTGTTGAACCAAGCCTTGTCCACCTGTGACGCAAGCTTGTGAATGCATGACCTCATGGTCCAAACTTCCACGCAAATCAAGTCTCTCTCTCTCTCTCTCTCTTCCAAAGACGAACCCTGTAGGTAAAACCTCACCTCATTACCTGTGGGCCTCTGGCCCCATGCTCGAGTAGTTGTCTATGACCGCCCATGCCGGCAACTTCCCCGTGGTCCAATGCTATGTTTGTCTCACTGCATTGCCCTACTTGCTTGTTCTTTTCCTACCGAATGAAACTGGAGTAGCATGCATGTATGTACTCCCTCCTACTGGTCACAGTTCAGCAATCTGCACAGTTAGGCTGATGTTTTCTAAATCCCTATACGAATCGTTTCCTTTTGGAAAAAATCTGTCGCGAGATGCTAAGTAATCCAATGGTCACGTTTTTAATAGTAATCGGATGTATGATACTTCATGTAGCATTGGGAACGAAGGAATCTTTTCTAGTTATTAGAGAAGGTTTGCCGACAGACATGGGTTTTCCCACACAGACATTCAGCTTGTTGTGTGGCTTTTGCTCCCACGTCCCAATGACTTGTCCCTGAGTTAAGGCTTTGGTTTCAGTAACCACATCCATGCTTAGCTTCAGCTCCCAATGATTTGCTTCCCAGTCTCTTTTTTTTTTTTTTTTTTTCCCCCTCTGCATGCTGCTAAAATGTACCATTGTTGAGTTTAAGATTAATTATAAATTAATTCTTATAATTAGTTTATTTTTAATATTTTAATATTTATATTTTTAAAGTTTATATTGGAATCCATATATTTACGAAAGTGAAACATTTAACCTCATTTCTCCTCACGTCATTGATTCTATTAATGAAAATATCGTTCTACGATATTTCTATCAGCAAAGTCGATGACGTAAGAAGAAACATGATTAAATATTTCACCTTTATAAATATAAATAACTAAATATAACTTTTGAAAGTATAGAGATCGAGATGCTAGAGATAACTAATTATACGGGATAATATGTAATAAACTCAGAAATATATTCATATGCATTCACTTGTACTTGTATACAAATATAACCTCGAGGGTAGGTATATAGTGCTTCCACTATATAAACTATGTGTAAATTTCTAGATGTAGTTTGGATATTTGATAAAAATAAAAAAAGAATTATTTATAAAAATATGGTAGTTAAAAGAAGATATAAGAAAAAATATAAAGAATATCTAAGTAGAAATTATAAATAAATTATTTATATGTGATATGGAATATATACTAAGAAGATCTATAAATATTATATAGTCAGAAGAGACTAATGGATATATTTTAAATTATAAATAAACATCTAAATACTCTTAACTAGGAACAAGACTTTTTTACATATTTGGATGGTGATAAAAGATTAATTCAACTGATCCTAAATAATTATGACCTTATTGGTGTTGTGGTATCAGTGATATTTTTGTAAGTAACTGACTTAGAGGAGCTATTTAAAAGATGATTTTGATGTTTGGAGAGGAGATTAGGTTTGTAGTTATATAGAACAATAAGATGCATAAACAGATTCATCACAAAGTAATTGCAAGGATCTGAAAAGTGCTGCAGAGATTCATGGGATAGCCAAAGGTCACTTTTCACATCATTAATTTAGAATCCTTTTATCATGGTCCAGAGGATGAGATTGTAATGGGAAATGAATCTGACACATGCATAAAAGTGTGGAAAGACCAATGAAGTAGAAAGAAAGATTAAAAGGTAAAAGAGAATCCCTATTATATATATATATATTCCTGATATTTCCCATCATGACAAGGACAAAAAGACCTGAGTGCAAGAACATCGATGTCAAAGAGTCTTCTTCTTCTTCTTCAACTCATCACTCGAATCAAGCAGCAGCAGTCACTTTGAGATGATTCAAGTATCGTGATTTGGTGATCTACTGAAGTACTTTCTCTTTCTCTTTCTCTTTCCTTTTTTTACCCGCATGGAGCTGCTACCAAACCTGTGGGAAAGGTTACCTTTGTTATGACATCACTCACATAGAGAGAGAGGTGGGTTTGGCAGGGGAGGAGGGAGAGGCCAATGAGAGCAAGCTTCTGATGCTTAGATCAAAGTGGAGGAGCCTTTTCCCCATAACAATGCATTGTATAACAAGGCTGTGCACTTGAATCCAAGGCTACTTGTTTACTACTGATGGGTGGTAGGACAATGGCCTTTTCTAGTTTTTATGTAGGTCATGTGAAGCTACAAAACAAGGAATCCCATGGCCCCTCACCAACACCTGCCTCGGTCTGCCCATCAGTACATTCCCAACAAAGCATCACACAATTAACTTAAGGTTGCATTAGGTGCCATGTTAAGTTGGGTCATTGGATTTTATTTTGCATTAAGTTATTTTTTTGTTATCAGTTTGCAGCAATCTAATAAACATTGTGGAAGCAATATACAGATTAATTATAGACTATCACATGTAATTAGATATTTTTAGCATCTCGATTTTTATATTTTTCAAAAGTTATATTAGGTTTTTTTATTTATATTATCAATTGTGTTGATGAAAATATCACACGTGCTTAGTGATAAACTAAAGTGAGATAAAATTAACATATATTCAATGATAAATTATATGATATATTCATAATTAAATATTTTACTTTCATAAATATAGAGATCGTAATATAATTTTTAAAAATAAAAAGATCGAAACACTAAAGATAACTAATTACAGGGATAATATGTAATTAGCTCCCAACAAACCTTCAAAAATAATGATGAATCATTAATAAAATAAAAATAATAATAAACATTATATTGAGTCAAATGTTCTTTCATTATAAATCTCTTAACTCAAATCAAATTCTTGTATATCATTTCACTTGAAGATTCTTTTTTTTTTTCCTGTCATCTCTATATCTAATAAAGAGAAAGGAACTCTTTTACCCTCATATTTAACAAGGTTTTTTTAAATTAAAAGCCTTTCCACATCTTGATAATATTTTTTTTAGAAAAAAGACTTTAATACTAAAACATAATATAGAAAATTAATTAAAACAAAATATTAAATATGTTAATCTAATTTTTTTTATTACATAAAAAAATAATAAAATGGAAAGAAAAGAATTCGTGAGCTAACTCATGGTCCGCTCAACCTATGGAGGAACACTGAAAACATATAAAAATAATACGAGAGGGGAATTTGTAGTGCAAATAAAATACCTTAGTGTAGTAAGTCGTGCATCCATCCGTCAATCTTCTTCTCGTTCCTCTTTTCCCTTTGGTCATGAAAAGCCAATACACCACGCAATCACAAACACCACCTTTCCGACTGTCCTTCTCCTCCTCAATTCTCATCTATCTTTGACTACTATCATCATCATCATCGTCGGGTCCCCCTTGTTAGGCCCTTCCCTCTTATTGCAGGTCTTCAATGGCCTAACCATACATCTCACCGTCCGATCTATCCCACCCCTTCGCCTCAGCCGTCCGATCTCGGTATGGCACCGTGAAATCAAACCAGCTGTACCTTCAAATTACATCTCTCTCTCTCTCTCTCTCTCTCTCGCTCGCTCTCTCTGTAGTAAGCGTTTGCGGAGCCTCGCCACCTCCGCCACCACCGCCCCGGCGGCCACCTCGGCCGCGCTGCTTCTTTCTACCTCTCCCTTGGCTACAATGGCGTTCCTCATCTTCCTCGCGCTCTCGTTCTCTCTCCTTGCCCCCTCGTCCCCCTCGCCCGGCCCCGCCTCGACCGACCAGGCCGCCCTTCTGGCTTTTAAAAGCTCCGTCGCCCTCGACCCCGCCTCTCTCCTCTCCGGCTGGAGCCCCGTCGCCCGCCGCCACTGCACCTGGCGCGGCGTCACCTGTGACGCCGTCTCCGGCCGCGTTACCGCCCTCAACCTCACCGGCACCCCGTCGTCGCCGCTCTCCGGGAGGCTGGCGGCCGCCCTCGGGAATCTAACCGAGCTCCGCGTTCTCTCCCTCCCCCATAACGCCTTTTCCGGCGACATTCCGGCCGCGGCGATCGGGAGCCTCTGCCGCCTCGAGGTGCTCGACCTCCGTCGCAACAACTTTTCCGGCAAGATTCCTGATGAGATAAGCCGTCTTCCGTCCCTCAGTGTCCTTGATCTTAGTCATAACTCGCTCTCCGGCGCGATCCCGGAGAGCCTCATTGGATCCTCCAACCTTCAATCCGTAGACTTGTCGTTCAATCAGCTCTCCGGGAAGATTACTGTTGACCCCCTCGGTTCTTGCTCGTGTCTAACGCATCTTAGGCTCTCTAGTAATCTCTTGGTGGGCAGAATCCCCTCGGCGATCGGAAGATGTACCAAAATCCAAACTTTGTTGCTGGATCGGAACATATTAGAAGGTCGGATTCCGGCTGCAATTGGTCAGTTATTGGATCTTCGGGTTCTTGATGTTTCAAGGAACAGTCTCACTGACAGAATACCAAGGGAGCTCGCCCTTTGCCAGAAGCTCTCTGTTCTTAGGCTCACCAACTTGATGGACTTCGATTCCACTGGTGGTTCAAGCAATGTCGAGGAGTTTAATGCATTCATTGGATCAATGCCAGCAGAGATATTCTCGATTCCAAGTCTTGAGATTCTTTGGGCTCCAAGAGCTAATCTTGATGGGAGTTTGCCAGATAGCCGGAACGGTTCGTGTAGTCTAGGGATTCTTAATCTTGGACAGAATTACATTGCTGGTGTGATACCAGAATGGCTTGAAACGTGTAGAAACCTGTCATTCTTAGATTTGAGCTCAAACTATTTGCAGGGTTTGCTTCCTGCTTCATTAGGAATTCCCTGCATGGCTTACTTCAACATCAGCCAGAACTCTGTGACTGGTTCTCTGCCAGGATTCTTGGACTTGGATTGTTCATATAATTTGGCATCATTGAGTAAGAGCGGCGACCTGCTGGTTGAGGACAATCTTCTGATTGCATACTCTGCTGATCTTCTTCAGAGTACTCAAAGAGACAACCCCTTTGCGTTAGTTCTTGACAATAGTTTTGTTGTCCTTCATGACTTTAGCCAGAACCGCTTTATTGGGCCATTGCCATCTTTTGTTATGCCGCTTGATGATAGCTTTCCCTATGGGTTGTCTTTGAACAACAATGGGTTCAATGGATCAATTTCTGGTAAGCTCTTTGGATCATGTCAAGTAGGCAGCGGCTTTGCAGTTAATCTCACTGTTAATAAGATGTCTGGTGGTGTCAATGATATTCTTACAGATTGTTGGCTGCTGAAGAGCTTTGAGGCAGCCAACAACCGGCTTCATGGTTCCATACCTTCTGAAATCAGAAACTTAAATTTACTCAGACATCTTGATTTGAGAAATAACTACTTTAATGGCTCTACTCCAGATAAACTGAGGGCACTGAAGGCTCTGGAACAAGTTCTGCTTGGTGGGAACAACTTTTCTGGGGGAATTCCAACTCAGTTTGATGGACTGTCTTCTCTAACTGTGCTGGACTTGTCAAGAAATTCTTTTACAGGCAGTATCCCTCCAAGTTTGGCAAATGCTACTAACCTTGAAGTGCTGTTGCTCAATAATAATCAACTCTCTGGCACTATTCCTCCATCTTTCTCGGCACTTCACCGACTTATTGAGCTTGATGTCTCTTTCAACAACCTCTCGGGAGATATTCCACATCTAGAACATTCTACTGACTGTAAGTTCTTCTTAGGCAATTCATTTCTTAAACCATGTCAAGATCCAAGTATGAGCGCACCATCCGGAATTCCTTTTAAGACTGAAATACCTGATCAGGGTCGTCGAAAGAGTAGGTTAAAGTACTTCACAATAGCAGCAGTAGCTTCAGCCTCTGTCTTAGTCTCTGTTCTTTTGGTGCTAACTTTTGTATTGGTTTCTGGAAGAAGGAAATTTGTCAGAATCACCAGTTTAAGAAAGAAGTTGGTCGTGACCTTTACAGATGTTCCAGCTGAGCTGACTTATGAGAATGTTGTCCGAGCTACTGGTAATTTCAGCATCCAGAACTTGATTGGTACCGGTGGATTTGGGGCCACTTATAAGGGAGAACTGGTTCCAGGTTTTTTAGTAGCCGTAAAGAGGCTTTCCATTGGCAGGTTCCAAGGTCTCCAACAGTTTGATGCTGAGATCAGAACACTTGGTCGGGTTCGACATAAGAACCTCGTAACTCTCATTGGGTATCATATGGGAGAAATCGACACATTTCTAATTTATAACTACCTCTCTGGTGGGAACCTCGAGACATTCATCCGCCATATGTCCAACAGAAATGTAACTTGGTATGAGGTTCATAAGATAGCTTTAGATGTCGCACAGGCCCTGTCTTACCTCCACTACTCCTGTGTCCCCAGGATAGTTCACAGGGACATCAAACCAAGTAACATCCTACTTGATGAGAAGCTAAATGCTTATCTATCTGATTTTGGTTTAGCAAGGCTTCTAGAAGTTTCACAGACACATGCAACGACTGATGTTGCAGGTACCTTTGGTTATGTTGCACCTGAATATGCAACTACTTGTAGGGTTTCAGATAAGGCTGATGTTTACAGCTTTGGTGTTGTGCTTCTTGAGTTGATGTCTGGAAAGAGATCTTTGGATCCATCATTCTCAGAATATGGGAATGGCTTTACCATCGTTGCTTGGGGAAGATTATTGATTCAGGAGGACCGTGCTGGTGAGCTGTTCTCTCAATTACTTTGGGAGAATGGACCAAAAGATAAGTTGGTATCGATGTTGAAGCTTGCGTTGTCCTGTACAGTGGAGTCTCTTTCTGTTCGACCATCAATGAAGCAGGTGGTTTTGACACTAAAACAACTGAAGAGCTAGTTGCTATTATTACAAGTTACAACAACTAGAAAACAAAAATCATAATGGCTCAACCATTCAGAGTCAGCCAATTAAGGTGCCTCGTGTTATTTCTGAGTGATGACCCAGTCCTATACTGAAAATGGTTGGCATGGTCTTATGCTTGCTGGCTGTCAGTGAGCTAATGCAATCATCCATCTTTCTCATCAGGGCTTGGGACCAGCATTAGCGCCGTTTGCTAGTTGCTATTTCAAATGCATTGATTTGCAGCATGATAATTAGATGGATTCCAAGTTATTTAACCGTTGTCCTTGCTGATCTTCCATCTTCAATGAAAATGCTCAGTAGGCAGTGAGGTTGTGAACTGCTGGGGCCATCAAAGGTGACTTTTCAATCATAAGTTCATATTTGTTTAGTATTTTTCTTTTGTGGACCATGGTGATTGGATTTGAACTCAATTTATTACAATATATTATCTTGGATGCAAAAAAATTTTCTAAATAGAACACTCGTTAGTGATGTTTTTATGTGTCAAGAACATGATGAGCCAAATAACTCGTATGGACGTTGCCTTCGAAAATGGAACGGCATTCATGAGAATAATTCTGATGTGAGACACTGAATATTATGGTGCACCAGGGCTCATTTGTCTGGATTTATCTATACCTCATCTTACATAGAATTTTGTATGTAGAAAACTTGCTTATGTTTCAGGTACTCTCTTAGATAGGTCCGTGTAATAGTGCTGCATTCTTTACTTAGAGAATGAGATACAAGATTGATCTTTCTTTGCTTCGATATTTATTAGTACTTTAACTTTGTAGGCACAAGCCTCAAGAGAAAACGTTGAGGATCCAATGCACATCTTTCGAGATTTCCCTATACCTTAGGTAATGCCATCAAATTGCTGGATCTCTTTTGCATTCATATTTCATCCTCCTCTCTAAGTTTAATATGCCAGTGTCATCTTTTATCACTGAATTTCCATTTTGTTTTACAGGAGGAATGAACTGATTTGACAACAAGTTCTTGTTGGCAATTACAAATCACAGACATGAGCAGAGACATATTGCAGTGTGTATAAAATAACAAATAATGCACAACAGCTGAGATGCACAATGCGGTGTGTATAACTGGAGGGCTAGCTGATTATCAGAAGTTCCCAAGTCTGCCGATTATTCATGATAGATAGTTTCTCCATCTTTCCCTATATGATATCAAAATTTTGTTCTCTTATATGGGATCCTATGAGTTGGTCAAAAAATGTCTAAATCGAAATCTTAGCTCTTTGCTTGAGTTGCAACGGTTAACCCAAACAATACTAGAGTCAGGCAATTTATTTGCCTTCTGGTTAAGTATTTTTCTGAAACAGTATATTTTAATCACAATTGAAAGGAAGGATTATGTTTTGTAAACTTTGAAATCATGAAATTTCTATAATTTCTTGAAGTACAAGGTGCCTGCCATAATTTTTTTGGTTGTCTTTCTGTGTTGTCTTATGTTTGCTCATTTGTCATATGGAAGATCTGAAATTGATCTCTACTTAATCGATTTCGGTGGAATAGAGATATATAGGATATTTCAGCAGAATTGTATATTTTTTCCTGCCTTTTTTTTTCTGAGGAAATACTTTTGGTGGAAGTTAGCTTCTATTTTGCTAAGCCTATGTTGTAAATACTTTTGTCCTTGCAACTTGCCATACAGGCCCTTTTTAGCGTCATCCATTCATATTTATTTCTGTATTGTGCAACTATAAATCTACAGATTGTGTGATCAAAATGCCAACAGTTGACATTAATTTCATTGTTGTTACATAGAAAGTTGGGGAAAACAGGGAGATCTTAAAATAAATTAGCATTACTTGCAACTATCTTTTGCTGTGAAGTCAAAGAAGTCCAATTCCAACTCTACTCTAATACTCATTTTGAGAATCTTTTGAGCATGTGTGGTTTCTCTTTTAAGAATCTTACTGCTCATTAAAATCATCAACCAAAGAATGTGGACTCAAGTTCATTTATTTTTTTCCACACCTAAAACATTGGTTTAGTGATGACATAAGTGTCATGTTTAATTGATAAAAACTTTGATAGATCAGATCATCATCCGATAAGTTTCTAACTTGAATCTCATCTTCATCATTCATTTTTTAACCCCAAAAAAAAAAACATCTTCCATGAGGTTATTGTGAATTTAAAAGGTAGTAGTGAGTTGATCGAGAAAAGATTAGCACAGAAATGAAGAGACTCGTTCAAAGCTAAATTATAGAGAGCTGAGTGATTCATAGGTTTTCGTCCTCGATGTTGCATTTGGATTCCAGAACAGATGGATGTCCTGATTGAGCTTATTGAGTTCTCTTCAAATGCATAGTAAGTTTCATACCTTAAGCATTCGAGGAGTTTGTTGTTCTTTATGGTGCAGCAAACAAATGCCCAACAATCCACAAAGAACACAGTAGATTTACCAGCACAATGACTCAGAATTCTATGGTCCACTTCCTGAAACATGAAATTATTATAAATGTAATTTAAACAATACCAAACTCTTGCTCATGATACCAACTCATTTCATACGGTAACATAACATGATTTTACGGTAGTAGCAACAAACAATTATTGACAGTTCAAAGCCAGAATAAAACTGGCCGACAGGCGTCCAATTTATTTAAAAGGACATTGAACAAGTAAAAATTTATTTGAAGGATGAAAAGTTAGAGAACCACATCATCTACTCTCAGCCAGGATAATTTCATCCGACGAGTAATTTGTTCTCGTCCAAGAAGGTGTATGTTGGAACCTCTAGATTAAAAGGTGCTGGGCCTTTGCGGATCCTGCCAGAGACATCGTAGTGAGAGCCGTGGCAAGGGCAAAACCAGCCTCCAAAGTCTCCGGCATTGGGTAGAGGAATGCAACCAAGATGAGTACAAACACCAACGACGATAAGCCACTCAGGGTTCTTCACCCTGGCCGAATCCTCCTGTGGATCACGAAGGGATGACACATCCACGCTGTTTGCCATCTTTATATCAGATTCAGTTCGTCGCCTTATAAAAACTGGCTTGCCACGCCACTTAACAGTCACTGTGTTCCCAGGCTCAATGTTAGAGAGATCAACCTCCAATGATGCTAGGGCAAGTACATCCTTGCTGGCAGACATGCTCAAAACAAACTTAAGAATCAGGAGGCGAAGCAAAGAGGCATAAACAAATCTCCCACCAGTCAAAACAAAATATGCAAATGCTCGTTTGCTAGGATCGCCTGGTGGGAAGCGCTCATGATTGTACTCGTCATAGACAATCTTAGAGGTTGGGTTCTTTGCAGCTGCTACGGTGGCTGGAAGATCCACTAACCCCAGATCTTGATTTTGAGTAAGTGATTGAGTAGCAAGACCTGGATGATAAAAGGATCAGATAAATCTAGGCAATTCTTTATGATTATAAGCAAAAGGTGAAGACACTACAGCTCCTAAAAAGATTACTCAAGTGTCATGCAACAGTGACTAATATTACTATTTTACTACAAGCTTCGAAAAAGAGGACATTTACTACCCACTAAGGAAAGAATACAAGTATTATGATGCTCATCGAACATTACAAGAACATATGTGAGAAGTGTTATTGTAATTTTTTTCACCAGCTGTCAGCCAATTCTCAAATTACAATTAATCTTTCTGCTTCTAATATAGCAAGTAGTTCATGATCCAGTGAAATGATGCAGAAAATAAACACGCTTTTCGCATAGCTCAACCATCAAACAAGTGCACCACAGTTGCTCAGTCCCACACACTCATCAGATGCCATCATTGATCAAATCGGACATATTACAAAGCCCTAGATGAGTGTCTTTTATCCTTGATAAGCATCGAAAGTTAACGAAAAAAAGAGGGCAAAGAAATTCATCTCTGACAGCTAACTCTACGTGTATACAAGCCAATGTATAACTTGCTTAAGGATTTAAGCAACTCCAAGCCTCATGAACAAAATCACAGAACAAAAAAGAGGCTGCTCATACATTTAGTCAGAATTAAAATACTGCACATTGCCTACTTTTCCATGTCAAATATTTTCTGGGCCACAATATAATGTAGTTATAAAAGAAACTTCAATACTGAGCTGAAGAAATATCGGTTGAAATAAAATACATCATCACAAGGGGCACAAAGCACACAGAATTAGTTATAGCTGCATTCAGAAATTTTAGCTGCATAGGAAATCCCAACAGTTCACTTGTACATAAGCTAGAAAGTACTGACTAGAAACTAAAAGATAGTCAAGGTCTCTGGCCAAAGGTCCCCCTAGATGAACCAAGATTAGTGCCTTAAAGCATAGTTTTATAACAACCAATCCTGAACTGGTGCTCACTCATCTTAATCATCTAAATCATAATTGTCCGAACAATCTCTCAGCATACCAGCCTTATCTATTTGGAGTCTGGATATCAGTCTCCAGACTGATATGAAATTGGGCAAAAAGATGATATGAAATTGGGTGGGAAGGGGGGAGAAAAGAGCTAATGGGATGTGGGTACAGTCTGAATACTAATTTGCGTTCAGCAGTAAACAATGGATGCCAAGCATATCAAGCAAATGTCCAGTGGAGAACCATTACTAAATGAAATTGCTATTTCGCATAATAAATACTGCTTGGTAAAGACTGGTTTGACACAAACTTTAAACCTTATATAACTATATATAAGAGCCTGTATCAACTAAAGCCGGGCTAATTACATATTATTCTCTGTAGTTAGTTATGTTTAGCATCTCGATCCCTACATTTTAAAAAGTTACATTATGATCCCTATACTTACGAAAGTAAAACATTTAATCTTAATTCTCCTCTTGTCATCAATTTTATCAACAAAAAAAATCACACGTGTTGTCACGTGCAAAAAGGACACCAATAAAAGGGGTAAAAAAATAATTTCACTATCCTCATCCGTTATAAATTATTAATTTCACATAAACACCAGTGGCGTTGGTAAAAAAGGTTTTCACATAAACTTCTCCCCTTTGACTGCGCTATCGTTTCGGATAGCAAACCCAACGGTGGCATCAGTGGTGTGTAATGCCAGTGGCATTCCTAAGGAGATCTGGGCGCCGCCTCCTCTATGAAGCACCGCTATCTTCCCCTCCCCTCCGGCTGTGTTATTGTTCCAAACGACATACCGAGCGGCGACGGCGATGGTGCGTGAGGCCAATGGCATTCCAAAGGAGATCTGGGCGCCGCCTCCTCTGTAAAGAGCTATCTTCCTCTTTGGCTACGTTATTGTTCCAGACGACATACCCAGCGACGGCGTCGGTGGCGCACGAGGCCGGTGGCGTTCCGGAGGAGATTGGGTCACCACTTCCTCTGTGAAGCACTATCTTCCCCTCCAGCTTTCCTCCCCTCCGGCTGCACTATTGTTCCAGACGACATACCCAAAGGATTAGTGCCTTAAAGCATAGTTTTATAACAACCAATCCTGAACTGGTGCTCACTCAACTTAATCATCTAAATCATAATTGTTCGAAGTTCGAACAATCCCTCATAATACCAGCCTTATCTATTTTGAGTTTGGATATCAATCTCCAGACTAATATGAAATTGGGCAAAAAGATGATATGAAATTGGGTGGGAAGGGGGGAGAAAAGAGCTAATGGGATGTGGGTACAATCTGAATACTAATTTGCGTTCAGT